TCTTCATTTTTAATTTCTATCTCTCTTTGAACCTTCTTTTATGGTTTCATAACTCTTTAATTCTCTAGGTAATTATGGATCTATGTGCTTGCATGTATTGTTAAGGCAATTCAAGAGGGTGAAGTTTGTTGACATCAAACTTGTAAGTCAATTGAGTAGTTATTAAGCTATGATGATGACAACACTTAAATATAGAATAATATCCAGTGAAGTCCTTACTTGTTGAAGATATCTCTAGCGATCGAAGATGCCCAATATGGTTTATTAAGCTATCCTCTTGAATTAATATATCCTCTTGAAAATATTCTTAAAGATCAAGTCATCTCTTTAAAGTCAACACTATGTTCAAACAACACTCAAGTGAAGACTTCTATTTCAAGATTCATCAATGTTACTCTCAATGATCAAATTATATTTTTAGTGTGTTACTCTCAATGTATTAAAGTCATTTACACACTCACTAAAATTATTTTCAAAACATCATCTTATTTCAAAACTATTATGAAAATCACTTTGAATTGGACCTAATATTGTAAAATCAGATCATAACTGATTAGGAAACCTTTTCAATCAATTATGTATCAAAACTCAACCTATAATCAATAAGAGACATAACATCTTTCAAATATAGATGCCATCAACTTTTTCATATAATTGTCGGATAGATCTGGCGCTTTAGTTAGATGGACTTATATCATATAACTAATAGTGTTAGATTGTGCATCGCCTATAATGGATCAATAAGATAAAATTTTAAATGTAATTGATTATCCCACCCTAAGTAGTAGAAAAACATTCTATGGAAATCCCAAAATGTCCCTTTAATTCTGCAAGTACATTTTCGAATGCACCCTGAGTCTCACCAAATTACACCCACTTGAGTTCTACCCCATATTTTTTTCCAAAATTTATTCGAAGATGCATCTCTGAAACCACTCCATGTACACCTGCATTCTTCACTAAAACACTCTTTTCTGACATAACCTCATCTAAAGATGCAACTCTGTATTCGTATCAGACAGAGTCTGAAGATGCATCGCCAGAACCACACCAGACAGTATTTTTTACTTTGTTTTAAAGATGTTATGATAAAATTAACAATATATTATAGCTATACTATCATTTTAAATTTTGTATAAATTAAATATACAGTTTAAGAATAATATGAAAATGACATATATAAATTAATGGGTTAAATGCCTTCTACCCCTGCTATATTAGCGTGTTTTGATTTAACCTTTCTTAAGAAATTTTTTTGTGATTCCCCCTTTATAAAATACAGATTCTTTTTCTAGACACTTTTTTTGTACTATTTGACTTATTGTGCATTGGAATCTTCATATGTGGTGTCCATGTGGGTTTTTTTACATTTATTTTTACTTAATTAGTGACATATCAATATTCTTTGAAATTCATATGAAAAATCTCAAAAAATTGTCCCTCCAAAAGTTCGAACCCAAGAACCTTCCTTCATTCATCAAACATCCAACTGTTGCGCCATCAGCTTTGTTATTGCAAATAATTACCTCAAAATTAATTAATATCAAAATCATTTAATATTCTTCTCCAATTTAAAATCCCTAATCTACCTTTTATCTTTTTCATCTTTTCCTAGTTCTTGAGCCAGATAATTAGTTAGATCAGTACCTCTAAACTCAAATCTTCTCGAGGCAATGTGGTTAATCGCATCCTCAATTACTGGAGCAACATCTGGTTACAAAATCCAAATAAGATAAAGTTATTTAGAACAACCAGTAATATCAAGAGCATACTAAAACTGAAAGAAAAACACTCAGTCATCCATTCATTTAACAAGCATTAGGTATTAGAACTTCGTTAGAATGGCTACTTGAACCACAGTATAAAGAAAGTATATCAGAACTGTTTGTCTTACAAGTTACGACCATGTGAAGATAATTTTATATCATAAACAATATCTATGATAAGAGTTTTGTATCTGTCATTTAGATTGATAAATAGAAAATACTAAAAAAGATACAATTGAAATATAAACCTTAATCTAGTTTGCTTTTCTTCTTTTAAAACCCTTTCACTATAACTTTCTTGTTTACTTAACAAATTCAGATATTCTAAAAATCTTGAAACAGTTAGTTTAATTGCAAACAAAAAAATAATAAATAATAAAAAATGATGGGGTATACCATATACAATGTGCTGGGTAAATGAATATGCAATTGCAAGCAATGGGCCAATTTTATGATTCACATACATGAAGCACATCAAACAAACCAACAGTTAAATGCAATACTTATTCTTAAATTCTAAAAATCATGAAATCCTCATTCCTCCAAATATGGATACCTATTTTTCCATGACCAGTATCAACCATGCACCCAGAGATCCTTCCCACAACATAGAGTGGCAACATTGCCTGCTCTGAGGCATAAAACCCTGATATGTTGAATGTTTCAATTTGGATAATTTATACAATTTGGTAAAAAAGATGAAAGGTAGATTAGGGATTTGAAATTGGAGAAGTAGATTAAATGATTTTTATATTAATTAATTTTGAGGTAATTATTTACAAGGACAAAGCTGATGACGCAGTGTTTGGATGTTTGATGAATGAGGGAAGGTTCCTGGGTTTGAATCCTTAGAGGGACAATTTTTTGAAAATTTTTCATATGAATTTCAAAAAATATTGACATGTCACTAATTAAATAAAAATAAAAGTAAAAAAATCCACCTAGGCGCCACATATGAAGATTTCAATGCACAGTAAGCCAAATAGTGCAAAAAAAGTGTTTGGAAAAGGAATCTAAATTTTATAAGGGGGGAATTACAAAAAAAATTCTTAAGAGGGTTAAATCAAAACACGCTAATATGGCAGGGGATAGAAGGCATTTAATCCTAAATTAATAAATAAAAAGTACACAATAAAGTCAAAATAAAATACAATTAAAAATAGTGTTTCTAATATAAATATTATATACTACTGTTTAAGACGGACTTGTGTCCATTGTTCCTACGTTGCCTCATGTACTGTAATGCCTCCCCCATCATGGCCTCTAGAACATCCCTCATCTCACATCCATCCAAAAAGAGTTCTTTGTATATACATATCTGCTCAATCTCTATGATACTGGAATATCTAGGAAATACATCAACAACATGATATGCCGTAGTGTGCTCCTTCTCTAATATCTCTTGATGAGCTAGTCTAGGTGGATCTCTTGAAGCATCAGGCGTCATATAAGGATGTGACACTCTGAAATACCGTTGAGTGTAATTGTGTACATCACTCTAGTCGCTAGAAGTTATGGTATTCGGTGCCTCATCTGGTACCAGATGATTAAGGTAATCATTATACATGGAACTCATATCTCAATGTGTCATAGTGGGAGGAGCAGACTCATAAGGGTTTCTGAGAACAAATTGCATGTAGTCAAACTATGCATGACGCGCTCATACAGATGAGGATAAATCATCCGTGAATCATAAGCTAACCATCCAGAATAGAAGGCAATGTCATCCAAGGGACGCTCTCACGGTGATCAACGTATGTATGGAAGTGTATATCATTTGCTATCATGTCGTGCCTCAATCTATCTTGCTTATCAGCCATAATACCTATAAGTAAACCACACAAGAATTACAAAGATGAAACACAATAAGGTCAAGTCAAACAATGCATATTGACAAATTCTGGAGATGCATCTTCGTAAGATTCTGGAAATCAAAACGTTGAAAATTTTTGGAGATGCATCTTCGTAAGATTTTGTAACTCATGTGAACAACAATGACGAAAATACAGTCTATTCCACCATCCAAAATAATACATTGATCATTTAAACTACCTATCAAACACATTTCTCATTTTAAAAAAAAAATATTTAAACTACTTATTACATAACCTAATACTCAATTTCTACAAATATATATAGAAATGAAAAAAAAAAGTTTAGAAAAATAAAAAACTTATCAAATGTGAGTTTTGTTTGATGTTGAGTTAACTCGTTGATCGATTGCATGTTGATAGCAGAAGCTTTGTAATGAGTTTAATGAGTTTAAGGAAATGTGAGTCGAGAGAATTTGAGACTTGAGTAGGTTTTGAAACTTATGAGAGTTTTGTTTTAAAAAAGTATTTTAAGTGCTGAGAAGGAGAAAAATCTAACACATTTTATTTATTAAAACAGCATTCGGAGATGCATCTCCGTAATTTAGAGAAAGATATATCTTCGTAATTTTTTTTAGCATAGTCTTTCAATCTTATTTAAGAAAATATTTATTAGATATATTAAAAGATGCATTTCTAAAAATTAAGAATAGTTTTTATTTTTCAACGAGAAATAATTTTTAGAGTCCGTTAAATAATTCCAAAATATGAATAAGTGAATCCATTATTTATATCATACTACTATGTACCCTCTATCCATCTTAACCAAATAAAATATACCATTATGCATACTTATTGACAAATATAACCCCATTTTTCTATCCATTGACAACTACACACCATATCATTAATTTCTTACCAATTCATGTCATATTCAAATCATGTACTACCTTCTAGAAAACCTTACATATCGATCGAACATTTGTACCACCTTAAAACCTGTTTACATGTATAACTCAAAGACTAGATCTACACCCTTCTCCACAAGTAACATGTTCTATGAACTCTTTTCTACTATCTCATAGCTCAATTCTCACGGCACTATAGTCTACTATTAGTTACAAAGAATTAATTCATATTAGAGTAGTATATGGTCAAAAAAAGACTATAAAATATACATAAAACACAAAATTTCCTCCCTCTCATACTAATAAAATGTCCCTAATGCCCTTAGGAAACTTCTATAGGATCAATACATTAAATTTAAATTCTTTTTTATTTGATTTGACTTTTTAAGTGGACCCATATTAGTCTAGTCTCTAGTTTAAACCCATCTCTATAGCTGCCATATAACTTCACAATCCTCATGATTGCTCAAACCAAACAAAAACCTAGTACCTTAAAAACCAAAAATTTCATTAAAATGTCGAACCCTTTTGTTTGTGGAGCATTCAATCCAATAGATGATGATGAACTATGTACAATTTCAAGCCCAAGAAGATACAAAAGAAAAGATAGCAAAAACAACCCTTATTCTACACGTGGCTTAGATAAATTTTCCGCACTTTTATCTGATTTAAACGATAAAAGGCAGAAAATATATTCACAAATGAACCCTCATGATATATCATATGTTCGTTTTGTTCACTCGAGTAAAGACGATTTTGTCCCTATTATAGTTAAGGTGAAAAACAAGAGCCAAGAGTTAAAAGTAGTAAAAGCAAGAAACTTGAAGAATTCATCAACTGATCAATCATCAAGTGTTGTTACTATGGAAAAAAGAAACCAACCCGAGAAGAGAATCTCCATGAAAGTGAAGAAAATTGAAATGGATAAAGCTATGATGTATTTGGCATTTGTTGTGATCATGATTTTGCTTATGTTGACTGTTTTTGGAAGAACAGTTACAACAATTTTCACTTGTGTTTTATGGTATGCTAATCCAACTAAGAAAGATGGTTCAAGAAGTTCTATGAAGAAAGATTTTGGTAGAGGCTTGAGTGAGAAGAAAATGGGTGTGACGAGTGATGAAAGGATGAAGAGAAAAGATTATAGTAGATGGTTTAGTGAAAGGAAAATGGAGATTAGTGAAGGGAGTAATGAGAAGAAGAAAGATTATGTTAGAAGATGGAGTGGGAAGAATATGATTAGTGGTACTAATGATGGATTAGTTTCTCCAAGAAGTGGTGGTGATTCTGATGAAGCTACTTCCAAGAACAAGAAGATTCATGGAAAACGTTCACACAAGAAAAGTTAATGATCATTGTATCTTTTTTGTTCTTTCTTCTTTTTCATGTTTCCATTTTCTTGATTAGGATTAGAATTTTAGTTGAGTGAAATGTGAATATGTGTATATTTTTTTTGTTTTTGAAAACTTCTTGAAATGAGTTGACTATTCAACCTTTCTTGTTAAATGTTCATTGTTGGATCATGATAGTGAATTTCAATTTGAAAGCTTAGTGTATATTTTGGTGAAGTAAGCTTAATTAATCCAATCCATGTTAGTGATGTAGTTAATTAATTCAATCAAATTTCATTGTTCTAAGCAATCTATAACAGATTTGTTTTTTTATTAAGCATGTTGATTCTTTCAAGATACCTGAATTGAATTAGAGGTTAGAAGTTTGAATAGTTTGTGTATTAGATTATAAATTAATATTCATTGATATGGTCATTGTTGATGTATTCTTTTTAATAAAAAATTCACTACTCTACTGGTTCTGAAGAAATTATTGCACAAGCCACCACACTCAATTAAGATACATTGAGTTATACAAATACATTTTTAATTCAGATGATTAATTATTTATTAATTAATATTGTCTCAAAATGTCATTAGTTTCTAGGCTCAATTTCACCAATACATGTTGCCATGTTGGTCAACTTGTGAGGTGTTTAGTTTCTCTTAAGCAATAATTTGATTTCAAACCGTAGGGATGAAAAAATAAAAGCATGCGCTTAAAGAACTTTTTCTAAAATGAAATTTAAATAAGAGGTTCTAAAAATAAAATGTATTTAGTCCAAAATTTAAACTAAATATATTTAATTTTTGACAATTTTTTGCTTATATTTCATTTTGGAAGAAATATCTCCTATTATTAATCTATTCGGCTAGAATTAGATCAAGTAGAGTATCTAAACTCCAAAAAATTACACTCAATATCTCAGCAATAATTTCACAGTTGGAGAGCTTTATTTTCTTTGTATTACACTTTGATTTTAGAAAAATGGACATTGATAGTTTGAAATTTGGCTGAAAAATAAGTAAAGTCATAAGTAAGGAATGATGTTCCAAGCAATGTTAGAACTCTATATTCTCAATTAATTCAACTTTAAACTGAAACCCATTGATTTCTTAGATCCAAACTTATCATTGAGATTTCATAGACATGCATACATCTTAGTTCTCACCCTGTCATTTTACAACACAGCCCAATGATAATAAATCAATTTCGCCAAATAATGTGGGAAACCAATTTTCGTTTTGGAACAGTTAACCCGAACAAGGGCTAATTCGCATCTTAAATTGGAAAAATGAGATTGTAAAATGTTATTACAGGTGATCTCTGAAAGTAACCCCACTATCCAACCTCGCGAGCTTGAGTACATTCTCGAAGGCCCAAGTCAGCGAACATTTTAGAGTCTAAATTTGAGTTCAGTCCATAACAGCAATATTGAGTTTGTATCCAAAATAAAACAAAAAGTTGAATCCTTATTCCTGCATCAAATAAAAGGGTTCCTTGTCATCAATTAGAGACAGTCCAACTAGGAAACCAAAGGACACAACTAAAAATATACCCCTTGACATATCAAAATCTTACCCTGAATCTCCTTGAGCGAACTTTATCTGGACTGTGGTGAGTGTTGTAGACCTGGCGCCGGGGAGCTTCACTTCTATAATGATCTGATGCTGTTGTGGATAGCACGTTGTTTTTCTCTCGAGTTTGATTCCTTGAATTACGGAAAAATTCATCTTTATCCCAAGTAACCACATAATCAGCCTTTAATCTTGATCCTTGCTGTTCAAAGATGATTCATAAATTATCATAGAAATCAAAAACATATCCAAGCTTTCAAGTTTGCCAAGTATTTCTCATGCTAATTGCTAACCCAGTTTTCATCACCTATGGTCCTATTATCCTATACTAATCATGAATCATGAATGTAATGCAAGTCTGCAACTGCTTGCGTATTATCTGTTTCAGCAACCACTCGTAACATTTTTCTTACTCATAAGTAGATCCAAAGTAGAAACCAATTACTTAGTTGAAAAAACTCAGAGTCATAAGCTATAAGCTAAACCAAATTGAACCTAAATCGATACCTTTTGCATAGAGCGGCCACTGAGAACTCTCAATGCATCATGGAAGTCTCTATATTTTTCAAACTGAACCACAATCTTGCAGTAAAGCCCTGAAACTAGGTCTCCACTGTCTTCATTTGCATCCTTACCTGAATCATCCTCGGCAACGTTAAGATTCCTATTAAATGCAAGTTAAGGAGCAGAAGAATTAGGTACAATCACATTATTGAGTATTGACACAAACAAGTTTATTTCTTTCCACTTCTTAAAACAAGGATAATGAAAACAACGTAAATCCGGGTCTTCATCCAAAATACATTCCTTCATATAAATATCTACACTAAAAACACACAAATAAAAGTGATTCCTACTTCTATCAATCACATTATGTCTAAATCTAGTTTAACCAAACTCTGTAAACATTCACATAGAAAAAGAAACATTAAAAGAATCTCATAATATAAGTCTTTTAGGTATTAATAACTTCATAGATAAGTTGAAATCAACTATTTCAACTTCTGCATTTCAGTTTTTCAAAAACCCTCTTAGTCAACTTAGATTTATAAGCTCATAAAAGCTGTAACTAATAAGCTAATCCAAATGCTCCTGGACCTGGGGCCTTTAGTTATCTACCTAAGCTTGAACACTACAAGTGAAATCTCATCAGAAATCATATTGAAAAGATGCAAACAAGAAGCTATCAATGTTTCAAAAACTAAACCAAGTCGTTCAAACTGTAGAACCATGAACCGTCACTGTTTACATTTGACTATTTGAGTGGATCAATCGCACTATCACCTAAGCTCAAGCTATTGAAAACCATTACTCAAAGATCTCACCTGTTCATTGTCTGAATCGATTTTCAAAAATTGATACATATAAAGCTTATTGTAGAATTAACTAACTAGGCATCAACAAGTTCAAACATACTAACTAAGCAAATTAAAACCTATTTATAAACAGGCTAATTAAGTGCTTATATCATGGAAGTTGTTTTTCTATTAACTATTCTATAAGAAATGATAATGTAAGTCAAACCGTTTCTACATAAACTATAAATTGTATTCAAAAGCCGTCTTAAGGAGCTTAAGGAAATAAGCTAAAAACAAGTGCTTACACTCATACATAAAACCTCAACTAACTCAATCCAAACACACCCAAAGTTACTCTTAACATCTATGACTCAAATTCATAAAAAAAAGAAACAACTTTTCTAGGGTTTAAGAAAACCAATAAAAAACAAACCTTATCTTCCCAAACTTGGAAAAAATGGTATGAGTAACAAGCATAGAAGGCTTAGAAGAAACCCTAGTCTCCGCGAACCACCGAGACGGAACACCAGTAATCACAAGCGTATCCGGTTCACCTCTGAAACTCCGATTGACATTCTTAAAAGCATAAAAGTGTTCCCAATTCTTCTTGATCCCATCAAAATCGTCACACTCGGGAACCTCAACCTGAAGCCTAAACCTAACCCCTTGCAGATTCAACTCAACACCGTTCAATTTCTGAACAAAACGGTTCCTCCATTCCACAACGCCGTTTTCAGTTTTGTCGCTCAAAAACGAGAGGTCCCAGATGTGAAGTGTGCCGTGAACGACAGGGTCTTCGCGCTTTCGCTTTTTGAGATCTTTGGTGAAGCGTTTGAATTGAAGATCTTCTTCGGGGAGAGGGAAGGGGAGAGAGTGTGAGGTTTGGAGGAAATCGAGTAGGGATTGTTTCGTTTTCCATTCGTCGATTTGGGTTGTTATGGAGGATGATGGTGATGAAGGGTGTACGGTGAGGTTCAGTTTGATGCGTGGTAGGAGAGTGAGGTCTTTGTCGATTTCTAGGGTTGCTGTTGGAGGAATTAGGTTTAGATTTTGTTGGTCCTCCATTTTCATCTTCATGCTCATACCTCACTCACTCGCTCACTAAACTGCTTTACATTTTGTTTTCTTTCCTACTTTTCTCTTACGTCATTTAAATCAGGTTTAGATTGCCGTTAAAGATAATTTTTATACTGAAATATATTGTTTAATTCACTTTTACATAAGATAGATATATCTAAATATAAATTAATTCTATTAAAATCAATTCTATCAAATTTAATTCTGTAAGAATTAATTCTGTCCACGCCAATTCAAATATATTCTAAATCTTATTTATGTTTCGGACACAAATAAGTATTTATTCTTGAATTGAGCTAGTTAATGAACCTTTTTTAAAACACAAGTGGCTCTCTGACTTAAACACAATATATTATATACAATAATCAAAACAAAATTTTATTTTAACTGAAAATAATTAGACATGGAACCTCATAATCCTTAATTTTATAAATGCAATGTCAATTAGCCTTAGATATGGACGGTATCTGAAGGATTCGTGCACGAAATGATTATAAAAGAATTGTGGTGATGGTGGCGTGGATTGAACCAAGATCGAATGATTTCATTTTTGAAAAGGTTTATTAGTTATGTATGTTGTAATAATTTTTGTTGAGATTGTTGTTTTACTCGTATCATACTCGGATGTGATTGCAAGCTTGGGTGGAAGCAATTGACAGAAGGAGATACCTTAGATTCAACTCAAAATCGATTGCTAATAAATTGAAGAAAAATTCAAACGTTTTCTAAGGGCCTAGTTAATGTTTTCCAATATACTCGAGAATAGTGTGGCTGATTTGTTAGCCCGACATGTAGGTGAAAATTTTCACATGTAAAATATATCATTGTTATATTTGGATTTTTAGCTATTCCAAAGTCAACAATGAAAGCATTAATGAAGTGTCTTATGGAAATTAATTAGGGAGCATCAACAAGGCATCAATCAAGGTGTCTCATAAAGAAGACTTTGGTATTTGATCTTCAATATGGTACAAAACTACAATTCAATATAGTATGTTACTATAGTGCTTAAAATATGTCTAAACATTCTGCATATATGTTTCATGGCTTTAAGATCACTAACATTGCATTTCCAAGTCTTTTGAAATGTATTTTCACTTTCCATAACAGTGGTAACCGGTTACTGGTTATGGGTAACCAACTACAGGCTTTAAAATATTTCTGGAAAACAATTTTCATTCAGTGGTAACCGGTTACTGTCTTCTGGTAACCGGATACATCTTCACGTTTTTGAAATTTCTAAATGTTACAAAGACTGGGTAATCAGTTACTGTATTCTGGTAATCGGCTACCGCTGAAACATTTTTAAAAAATAATTATGTTATGATGGTTGTTGGATTGAAACTTTTGGGCATGAACCATTACACTCTTTCATGCATTTATAAACTTTTTAAAGTGTGCATTACATGTATAAATTTCATTTTTAATTCTGATGCAAATTAAGACAACAACAACAATCAAACATGCAATACAATATTTTGTATCTCATTTTCAAACAAGTGCATTGATTAATATTTTGATCTTGCATGAAAATTTTACTCTTACATTTTCAAATACATCATTAGAAAAGTTCCATCATATGTATTAATCACTTGTGTAATATATTCATTGGATTGATGTCTTGAAAGAGAAGAGATCAATACTTGGTATTGACATTGATTATAAACTTTTATATCTACTTTAAGAATTTGTTTCTAATCATTTTTTCAAAGTGATTGTGGTGTAACCTTGTTGTCCAAGATTGTTAGAAGCAAAAGAGTATTAAGGGAGGATTATTCTCTTTTTACTTTGTATTGGTTACCTTATTTTCAGGATTGTTGGAAACAAGTGTGTGTGTGTGTGTGTGTTGAAGAGAATTGTTCTTCTTGCACTTAGTTTTTTAGATCTTAAAGGTTATAAGAGCCTTTAACCTTCTTATATGTTAGATAGTAAGCATCACACTTGGTGTGGATAGGATGTACAATAATTCTAACTATAGTGAAATCTCTTTCGTGTTGAAATGGGATTGAAGTACTCTGTGTTTGTAAAGGGAACCAGGATATATCCGGTGTTATTTATTTTTCTGCATTTATCGCTTTCATATTCATACACAAACCAGAAAAATAAGAACATCATCGCATAAAATAATAAAAATATGCAATCCACTTTATTCAGCCCCGTCTTAGGCGCACTCAAAAATAAATAATTACTATTAGAGCAGGTTATAGGTAACCCGTTCCTAAAGATCTAGAATGGCTTTCACAAATTAAAATCTAGTTTTTAGAGACGGTGGTAGTAATAACAAGCATCCACTGTTTTGTAGTGAATACTTTGATTTTTGGAAAATTCGCATGAAGGCTCATTTAGAAGCACAAGGAGAAGAAATATGGAATACTGTCCAAAATGGTCCATTCATTCCTACAAGTGTTGTCAACGGTGTTCGAACGTCAAAGCCTAAAGGTTCATGGGATAAAGATGATAAGCAAAAGATCCTTTATAACAAAAAGGCAATCAATATTCTACAAAGTGCACTTAGTATGGACGAGTTCTTTCGCATTTCAACATGTACATCAACAAAGAAAATTTAGGATACTTTGGTTGAAACTCATGAAGGAACTGCTGAAGTTAAAAGGTCAAGATTGAATACTTTAAGCCAAGAGTATGAACTTTTATGAATGCAGCCTAGGGAGACAATTCTCGACTTGCAAAAGAGATTTGTTCATTTAACGAACCATTTGACAGCACTCGATAAAACTTTTACTAACGATGAATTAAATCTTAAAGTTATTAGATCATTGTCCAGGGAATGACAACCAAAAGTGACGACTATATCAGAAAAGAAAAGACTTTTAAAAATGACATATGCGGAATTGTTCGACAAACTTCAAGAACATGAAATCGAACTCGGAAAGCTAGAACAACATGATATTTAAGATGAGGATTCAAAAGGCATTGCATTGAAAGTTAACTCAAGGGAAGAACTTGAAAAAGATGATTCAAAGGAGTTCATGCATCTTGTAAAAAGGCTCGATAAGTTTTTCGCCAATAATGATAAATCTTTCAACTTTGCAAAAAGCGATAAACTTTTCAGAAAGAAAGAATGCTCTTCGTCACTACAGAATGTCAAATACTATAAATGTGGAAAAGGATGACACAAAAATAAGAAGTGCCAAAATTTGTCCAAGAAAAATGCTTACAAGGTGTCATATCCCAAATTTTCCCTGCCCTTAATTATATGTAGGTTTCTATTTAATCATATCATATGAGTTTTATTTCTACGGGGGGTGTAAAGAATCAGAGAAGGGTATCGATCCAAAATGGACCATCAATATCTAATGGCTCATTAGGCTTTAATAAAAGTCCACCGAGTAAAGAAAGGGAGGTGCGTTGTTTGTATTTTAAGCCAAATGGGCCTTTTAAGAATAAAAAAGGTTTGATTGAATCTTTTGGACCATCAAATTATTTTTGTAACCCATTAAGGTTTCTTTTTCTTCCTCCATTAAAATTTGGGTTGTTTTTGTTGCTTAAAATTATCAGGCCCAATATTTGGAAACAGTAGCCCGTTTCAATTTTGAGTGTGTTTTGAAGAAAAAAATTGCTATAACATTATTATTATTATTATCATTACTATTATTTTATTATAATAATTATGCTAATATTGTTTTAATTAAGAGCATTAGGTTTAAAAAACACTTAATTGAAATTAGTTTTCTTGTTTTATTGATTAAAAGAGAGTGTTAATAAAGGGTTTTCTTTTCTGTTACGGCCCAAGAAGATAGAAACATTTTGTTGAGAATAAAAAAAGCGTACAAGCCCAAAACATTGTGGCCCATTTGGTTTTTCAGTCTGAAAAGTTTTTTTTAATTATAACCATTTTTTTTGCAATTATAAAACATTTTATTGAAACGGTAAACTCCAGGCCCAGTACGTCCACAGTCTAGTCCAAAAAGGCTTATTTCCAGACTAACAAGCATTGTGCACATTAATCACAAAACACGTATGAAGGTTACAAACAGAGAATAATATCCAACATTGTAGAAACATAAATCAAAGAATATCTTTTCAGGACCAAGTACTTAATACAAAATCAAAGCAAAAACAGAAACAATTTGAATTATAATCAAAAGTTTATACAAATCATAGACACATCAATGTCTTTCCTAAAATTCTAATACAGACAAAATAATAGCTATTTATCTATTTCCTAAAAGATACAAACCGAAAAAAGCTATAAAAAGGGACAACAAATTACAGAAGGGGAAGAAAATTAACGGGAAAAAATAGCTCAACAGAAAAAAGAAGGATTGGTTGTGTAATTGCATCATCATTTTTTCTATTTTTTTTGCAGGTTGGAAAACTCCCATAAAATCGCAACTCCCTCTAACAACCGCTCTTAGAGCGCGAAGATTCTCTCTGTGTGTAACCCAAGTCCTCCGACCGGGCCTCCACCACCGCTCCAATTTCCGCCGCATATCCCTGGATCCACTCCAACGATACCTTAATCCACCTAGCACCTCCGTTCCCCATATAGAACCACAGACACGAAGCATCCGGACTCTAAACCTCTCAGATCACCATTCATCACTCAACACAGCCCGCAACCTCAATCTCTCCATCCACGATCTGCGAGCAACCACCCCGCCACTTCCATCTTACGCTGCCATCAGAACTGAGGTAAGTTCGATCTGATTTCTCTTTTTATTATGCCTGCTATTGAGAGAAGTGTGTTTGCTTTCCTTAGTTGGATTTTAGTTATTTCATGGAGAAGGAAGTGAAAATTGAAAAAAAAATGGTGAGTTTTGTTACTAAGAGAGGAGGAAGTCAAAGAACTGTGAAGGATAAAAATGAAAACTTAGATCTACAATCGTATGGGTGAGTGTCGTTATGTTAATGGTTTTTTTATTTTTTTATTTTTTATGACATATGTCACCGTTCTGGTGGCCATGATTAATTTAATTTAATATGTCCTATAAATATTGTAATAAACTAAAATAAAACTAGCATAATTGGTATTAACTATTGTATTT